CTTGGGAACAGAACTAGTTCTTAAACTGGGGACTATCTGTACTGATAATACAATTCTTCAGACAATTCATAATCCTATTAAGATGAATACTCCACATTCATCCCAGGTTCTTAAAAAGACACATGTGTCCAATACATACAAAATAATATTTGTTTTAATTGTTATTTTATATCTACAGGCACATGACATCTATATGGTAAAGTGGTCTTCTGTTGACCTTGTACTGAACATTCTAATTCCTAATTCTATGCCTCCCTCTGCTTCTGAATATATACATTACACGTTCTAAAAACTGTTCATATATAGTTATTACAATCTTATTATTCCATAAACTATTAAATTCTCCAGTATTAGAGAAGTATTCTGAAATATTTACAGCAGTTGATCAATGTCTTGACATCACAATCTATTGTTTAACTAAACATACTGCCATTTTTCTCAGTACTTATATATTCTAATCCTTTAGATAACAAGAAATTATAATATATTCTTATTAATAGGTTAAAATATACATTGGACACTATGCAGGTCTTCCAACAAAATAACTGTCTTACTAATTTGAAGTTTGGATTCCCCCATATTATTATTTTAGCATATTCATAAAATGAAAGAGTTGTTCTATTGCATGCTATCTCTTTTGCAGCTGAAAAGAGCGAACTCCATATTTTTCAAGCAGCTGAACATATCTAATTTATAACAAGTATAAAATATGCCAATTCCAGGATGGCCCATGAAGGAAAGTTTCCAGTAAGCAAAATAATCCCATTCTTAAGAAAATGTAAAACCTTCACTGAAGACTGAATTTCCTTTAAAGAAATTCAAGAGAAAGAATTTATCTCATTAAGACTTTGAAACAGTGCATTAAATTGCTGAAAAATACCTTTTAGGAACATGCAGAAGAATACTACAAAGAGTAGAAATTACCCATGGCAAGATATGCCTTTTTAAAGTATTATCTGTACAGTATCTCAAAATATATTTCATTTCTACTACTGTAGTAATATATCCATATTTGGTTTCACTACCTGATATGTATCTTTCTAGGTATTGTCACATCAAAATAAGTTATTGCCTCCAGGCACTATTAAAACTGTCCAGAGAAAATGCTTTTGACAATTAGTAGCCTACAAATAGCCTACAAGTCTGGAATATCTATGCAACTGCTCTTCTCAATTGTCTTTACCCCTCCTATAAGAGGTGCCAGAGTGGGCAAACTCTAGGTCCCTTCTGTTAAACAATGCTATCTTATTGGATCCTGGAGGCATGCCTTCCCTGTTACAGCTCCTACCCTCTGGAACATTTGCCCAGAGGTCCATTTTGCACCATCTCTACCCTACTTTAGGAAGGCAAAGAAAACCTGACTTTTCAAACAGGCCATGGGCCGAAGTGTTTTATGTACTTCCCCATAGTGTCATTTCATTTTTATACATTTTGTTTTCTGTTTGTTTCTATTGAGTTTTTAATGTAAGCAGTCTTGAGCTATGTAATTCTAAAAAATAATTCAGATTTAAATCAATTATTATACTTGGGGAAATAATTAAAAACTCAATTATGTCTAACAATTATAAATGATAAAAACTATAATTGTTAAAAAGGAGCTAGATGTTCATGCATACAGGGAAGCAAGGACATGAATGGTAGCATATGACATTTATAGGTCACATTTCTGTCCACTTAAAGTAAAGATTAATTTAACATCTGAACTCCATTATGAGTATCCAGATGTATGTAATTCTGACACCTTAATTACAAAAATATATGGCCTACTTAATTTATAATTTGTGAAGAGAGAAGCAGGTTACTACATAATTAAGAGAAACTGTATGAAGTATAATCAATTCAACAAATATGAAGTATGAATTTAATCAAACTGAACAGAAGCTTTACTTACAGTACTACCTGCTTAATAGGTATCACAGGGAATTTAAAACACAATTTTCTGTAGCTTCCTTTTTGGATTATACTGATATTAATACCTTACAACTGTGTATTGTAAACAGAAAAGGAGCAGTTCATGTTTGTATGTAGCCAAATTATAAAAAATGCTCAACTGTGTAAACTATTACTTTTTGCTCAAACAGATAAGAACAAGATTACACTGGAGAAACATGCATTACTTAATTTACTTCAGAAGTTTAATGCTCTGGGTTTTTTTAAAAAAAGAAAGGAAAATTCAAAGTAAATGAATATCTAGTTTTGTTCTCCCCAACAATATATATAGTACAAGCGTTGGAATATTAAGAATAGATCATAACAGCAACTATATGCTATTTAAACAAGAATATATTCAGTTGTCTACTAGCTTGTTTTCTATGGCTATATACGCCCACTATAATGTTCATCCCTATTATTTTTCAGTCATAAATTAATGTGGTTTCATCAACCAAAATGTTGGATGAGCTAATAACTTATTTCTATTGCTTAATGAATAGAAATAATGACATACTTCACAATTATTTCTAGAATTTTAGTGTACAAAAAGTGGAAAGATTCTTATCTACAGTATCATAGGCTTATATGATAAAACATGATTGCTGGGGAGCCTTCTTCCTGCTCCAATGTTGGGTGATACTGTATCAGACTGTAGTCTGTTTATTTAGATCGGTTCCACAGATATCCATATAATCTGCAGAGTGCTTCTAGACCAGTTTTTTAACTAAGCAATTCAAATACAGTGGAAATATAGTGTTACCGTAAGTAAGTTATTACATAATATATAGGGATATCATTAAAAGTAAAGCCTCCAATAGAAACAAGGCCCAATTTGCCACATCCAAATTATTAACAGATATCTTACTACTTTAATCCCGGCCAAATAATATATAATATGTATACACATAATTTAGGGATATGGTTAGATGAGGAAGATAGAGCCACTAAGTTATATACAGAGATTTGGTAAGTGTCCAAATGTACAATTTTATTAGGTTTTCATTTTTTCCAGGATCATAAAATATTTTAATTAATATCCCTTACTAGTGGGGAAAGTGAGTAGCTTTAAGTTAGTGGCCAATTCAACTTGAAAAAAATGTTCTAGCCAATTTTTTCTCAATTTGTGATCCACAAGAAATAAAGTAATAATATAATCCAATATACCTATTATGTATTATATCTAGTATTAAAATATTAGCAATAATTTTCTGCTCAAGCATCTTGGGTAAATTTAACATTCCCTGGATTTAAATCAAACACTTGTGTGATAGCAATGTGAATAAATGCTTGCTCCACATTGAACCATCAGAACAAGCTGTTAAAAATGTTGAATATAGCTTGCCTTCATGGTAGCCCAAAGCAACTCTGACAATCCAGCAGTAGTTTACATGAAGGAAATGGTTGAGAATCCCTATTCTAGTCTCAAATAAATAACATCTAGTCCAATGGTTCAAACTATGTTCCAGGATTGGGGTCCCTCAAAAGTTTATCAGGAATTTTTCAGAAAGAAACTCTATAAAGAGTCAACAAAAATTCTTGAAACTTTACCTAATAACAACTCTCCCTACAATCTGCAGTTACAGGGAATTGTAAGGTGCTTTAGGATACTATCATAGGTGCTAGGGGTTTTTTAATGCTGTTTTAGATTTAAATTCTTAAATATTGAATTTAAATTGTTTATTTAGACCACTTTGGGGAAGCTTTTGAAAGTGTGCATATAAATCTCTAAATAAAATATGTTCCCTGGAACTTAAGTATAAATGACTGTCAAGCCACTTTGTGGAAAGCATTCCAAAAATATTGGCTGGAAATGCAGTTTACTTCTAACTTGGCATGTTGTGTGAACCCATTTATGATTATTTATTCAATAAAATAAAATAAAAAGATGTGTACATCCAACCCCTCTGGGAAATTAATTTCAAATTTCCCCAAATATGTTTCTTCCAAGACAGAGGTATTTATAACCAAAGACTTCAGGATTACCTAACTAAAAATCTTATTTAAACTTCAGCAATAGTGGCTAGATTAGCACAATATGCTGGCTAAAATGTGGCTGGCTGCTTTCTGGTTTAAATACATCCTATGAATCTAGACAATGTGGTTAGCTTCTGGTTTAGTGCTATGCATAACAGGCAAGAGGATTCATTTAGGAAACCATGATTTAGTTTAGTACAAGTCAATCCTTCCTTCTTAGCAAAAACAAAAAACAAAAATCATCTTACAAAAACTATGTTTTTGCAGAACAGGCGAATATTACTTGATCAAATCCTTGCCACTGATATTTCTTCCTTAATAACTGGGGCTTGAAAAATAGTAAAAACTGTTTCCCAGGTACCAAAACTGAGCTAAACCTTCTAAACATTTCCAGTTTTGCTTCATCGCGCGAAACATAACAAATTGTTTCCTCGCGAGCCAGATTTACCCTATTCTGCACACTCGGCACCCAAGGACTCTTCCGAACTATCACACTTCCTACTCTAAGGCGTGTATTCCGCTTGCGACCCCTTTTCGACGACACCGCGAAGTTGCCGTCGTTTCTTCCCTCTTTCTACAGCGGCACTTCCACCAAAATCCTCACGCCTTCCTCTACAAATACCGTCTCTCGTCTACTCTTCAAATCACACGCCAGCCGCCCTGCCCACCCCGCCCCCACTCAAGTTTGCACTTCGGGGCCTACCGCAGCCTGCTATCAATCGTCTCCGGCCCAATCGAAGCTCTCTCACACCCCTCCCGTCTCCAGCTTTTCTAACACCATCCTCCTCTTCCTCCGCCTCCATTTCTCACAGAAACTGGGTCTCGAAACTACCTTTCTTCCTAACACCGCCTCCTGCCCAAACCCGTCTCCAGCATCTCTCCGTCCACCGCTCATCCCAACGCTCTCCTCCAAACGCTTCCGCAGCCACCGTCCTCCAACAACTCCCCCCACCTATTCCCTCACCCACCAGATCAATACAGCAGGCCTTCAGCCACCTTCTTCCTTCCTCTCTTCCAATTCCTGTTCCCAAAGCACCACTTATTTACACTCCCGCCCCCTTGTCTACCTTGGACTCCCCCGGCTGGCTCCCTACCTCAGTATCTCCCCCGACGCTGGCAGCCACTCAACTCCCTCCTCAAGTCCAGCTCCTCTTCTCTTTTTTCCACGCAAGGCCGTGCTCACCGAACCAGGCCCCAACTCGCCCCCTCACTCTCTCCGTAGCTTCAGTTCCTCAGACCGAATCATAACAAAGCTCTGCCCAAAATGGCTGCCCGGACCGGCCGAGGGCCGGAGTGGGGCGGGGCTACTCACGCGAGGGGGGGTTAGGGGAAAGAAACACGCCCACCTGGCCCAGCCCGTGCCAAGGGTGGAGCGCACGCGCGCTCACTCGGTAAGCCATACAAAATACCCACACGCGTACCGCCTATCAAAGACTCCTCGGAACGCTCGCGTCCGCCAGTTCTCTTTTGCGCATGCGTGAGCGTGTATCATTCTGTTGGCGTTAAGTTATGCTCAGCTCGGTATGCAACTATATCTCTCACGCTTTGTTCTCGGCCGCTCTCCAGTTGGCACAACCCTACTGTTACTGCACGGTAGCGTCTGTGTTCTCGCATTACGGTTACCCGTAGATAACTCACTTCATTGTCCAGGGCTCTCGTGGACAATAAACTAACCATATTGGGAGGGTTTGCACAGTCTAAAACGGTGCCGACCAGTTTGGAACTAAGTGGGCTATGGAAACATAGTAAAGTTTTACTTTTCTCCTGCAGTTCTCTGCATGCTTTAAAGAAATCAAACTAACATTAGTTTTCCCCATACAAAAGTAAGGATATGTCTGTTATGTAAGAAAAACCTAGTAAAAAGCTTTATTTGTAGGTACCTATTATGTTAAATAAAAAGTGGTAAGTTCCATAAACCCTCAATCATACTTTTCTGGCTGTGTTTGTCCCTGTTTCTCTGCCATCTTTGTTTCTTTTGTGTTTTTTGCATTGTTTCCTTGTTTCTAAATGTTTTTAACAATTTGTAAACCCAGTGTCACGGAGTCAGGCATCATATACATTTAATATTGAATTATTAACCATAAACCATGATTTTTAACTGATGGCTGGTCATGTAGGAAGTTAAACCAATTAGGGCTTAAAGTGGCCTGGTTTATACAATAAACTAACATTTTGAGTATTTGGTTTTAGCTTAGAGGCTGTAGTTGTAAGCCATAAGTTGTCTTGTGTAAAGACATCCATGAGCCAGTAAAATTTACTGAGTAAGGAATGTTAGACCAACTTGCCCTTGTAAATGGTCTTTTACGTTCCTGTGAATGAGCCAGATCTAGATAAGATGTAGATTCTGAATCAGTTAATGTATTCCTCTTCTTACAGTACATAAAAACTATGCATTTACAAGTGATTGTAGGTTAGAACATTGATCTGTAATTTTTAAAAAAGCTACTAAAATAAAATTTATGATCTCAAATAGCTACAAAAGCATGCCAGCCAATGGCAAAGACTCTAGATTGTCTGTTCTTCTAAATAATTCTCTGTTTCTGAACTATTGTCACTATACAAACTGGGTCATTTCTATTAAAAATAATAATTCAAAAGAAAGAAAAAAAATCAGTTCTCCCTACTCAGCACAGGAATCCACTACTGTAAATTGTGCACCAAACCATAAAATACAGGGACAGCTAGCTTTTTTTTTTTTTTTAA